CTGTCCCCTCCCACATTGACTCTGGTCTTGGCCATGTTGACCAAAAGTCTTTGACAATCCTTGTGCCTTGGGCTTGTTCTTGCTATTCTTGAGAACTCCATGGCCACCTTGAAAGCAAGTCTGGGGCAGCCTACTTGATGCTGAGAGTCATGAGGTTGGCTTGCCAGCATGAGGCCATTGATGGCTAACTGACCACAGAATATGAGTGAGCCCAGCAGGACCAGTCAGAAGGTTAACTGCCTAGGTTGGAGGACCAGAGAGCTCATGGAGGGACAGGGAAGGGTTGTGACTGGTCCTCTACCCTAAACTGAACTGGATTTTACCCTGGAAGCCAGAAATCTCAGGACCTCCTCCTGGCTACATTATGTCTGTGAAGAGAMCCTACTTCTATATAAGATCACATTCACAAGAAAGGGGGCTTAGGGTTTCAGTGTATTTTTTTTCTGGTGGGTGGAAGATGGACAACCACCTAGGTGAAGGCAGGTATCAAGGTAAAAAAAAAACCTGGAACAGCATGAAACATTAGGGATCAGCAAGTCATCTGTTATGCTGGGCTCACTTGTATTCACTCATTCATTCCACAGACTTTAGGAAGACCTACTATACGCAAAGTCCTAGGGTAGGCCCTGAGGATGCAGAGAATTTTCCAGGGCTTGGATATTCTTGGACAGTCACTCAAAGACTGACACTCTCCATAAGTCAGACCAAGACTTTCAGAGATCCTACGAGGTAGCCTGAACCTCTGCATTCTCCACTTCTGCAGAAATTATTACCTGATTACTTACAATCACCTATTAATAGCTTCTTCTCCTATAAGAATGACCAAAAGCTAAAATGCAAAAACAAAATTCAAAATATTTTAATGAGTGTATGTTTAAATTATAATTGAAAATTATCATTTTTCTTTGGTGATCTAAGTCCAAACATGAAATTGTGTGATAACAGCATTTCCGCTGAATATCTAAATGTCAAAGACATGTTGTAGGAGCAGTTAACATCTTAATCATCAGTTGCTCACTTGTTCACAGGAATAAAGAGCTGCATATAACTTCAAATTCATACTAGCAAAAATCAAATAGATCAAAAGTGCAAATGAAAATCTTTTTCGAAAGCACTATCTAAAGTTTCATATTAAGTGTATTTATTTTTCTCTAGGATTAGGACAGATTGCATTGGGAGCCCAGTCTTTCATAAAGAAGGGGGTGGGGAATAGAGTTGGGCCTTCGTTTTCTCACAAAAGGCACAATGTGAAGCACATCTGTGAACATTGTATAATTTGTTATGTTCTACAAAGAGGTGGGTTTTTGTTATACACATACCAGAGCTATTTGGTACTGTTTCACCAATGATCTCTATTCAGGTCCAGAAAAGAAATTGGCCTCAGAAGAGTGAAAGGAGAGTAAATTTTTCTTTAAAAATTAGATACAGATTATCACTTCAAAATGCAGGGAGGGATTTTACAAGTGACGGTGTACTGATTAGCTTTCCAATGGACATCCAGTCCTTTATAAAACACATACTAGCCGTGGTCAACTGTGACCAATGTGGTTTATTATCTCCAGAAGAGTTGAACTGAGATTACCCATCTAATGTAATTGAGAAATGTTGGGTGAACTTGAACTGTTTCTTGGACATGAATGACCCGAGAATTTATTTGATGAGACAGGAAAGGCTGAATATGGTAACTCTGTCTTTGATGGTTTGGTATAGTCATTTCTTTAGGTCATTATCAAGTTTTTCCTATTTTTTGTTATTACTCTTTTTCTAGTGATTACATGAGCAAACCTAATGGAAAAAAGGGCAAAACAAAATAAATTCTGTACAATATCTTTACGAAAAATATTTACCATTATTGGCAAATATTCATGACAGTTTTATATAGTTAACTCTTTAAAAGTAAATATTCATTTTCAAGTAAAGAAAGTGAATGCTAATTAAGTTGTGAAAAAATAATAAATGCACTGTTTTTTCATAAGATAGTCCCTAAATCATTTTTAAAATGTTATCTTCTGATTTTGCCAAGTAAGAAAAAAAGGCATCATGAAATTGACATCTTATTCACCAAATGAACTCCTTTGCATATCCTGGTAAACTGGGCAGTGTGAATTCTCTCATTGGTGACATCTCCATGAAACATGTATGATAACTTTAACAATAGTATGGCATACAAGGTGGCATTAGATGACACAGCTTTCTCTTCATGGGTCTGCTCATATCTAAGATAAATTCTCCTTTATTCCCAATGACCAATGCTAAGGTATATTTTGTATATATAATATGTACACATATTGTGTATACATCTTTTTACTGTATTTAAATACTATATATTTTAAATTATTCACAGAAACTCTAAGAATAAATTATAAAAATCACACTTCACGCTACTAGTGACTCTTTAAATGGAATTTGTCATTGAAACTTTGTCATTAAAACAGAAAGGCCTTTTGGTTGTGCCCATACAAGCATAATAAATTGTATATGTTTGTGATACTGAATGACTCTTGCCCATATGCTGCACTGCAAAGCTACATGAATGAGGCATTTACCAAATCAAGCCCACCACATTAAACAGAAAAACAATCTTTATTCATGGTAACTTATCAGTTTCAATTAATCACCCCTAACAATGGAAATTCTGATGTGTTCAAGCAACTTGAAAGCAACAGGTCATCTCCAGGGCAGCCATGTTGTGTCTTTGTGCTGATGGTTTCAAACAAAGCAACATCTCCAATAAATATACATACATATACATACATACATGTGCATATATATACATATAAATGGGCAATTACAGCTATGCCCTGCAGTGCCAACAAAATGCATGTGCACTGTGTATGATTTTTATCATAGCAAATGTTATTGTTTTCCTTCAAGTATTACTTTTTGAGCTCTGCAAGTTTAAACAAAAGGAAAGAAATTTCCATTGGATGACCATCCTTTCAGTTTCTGTGCTGCTATGTGAATAGCATTGTGCAAACCATTCCAATGGTTTTGAAAAGGGGTAACCATTGGTTTGATTTGGTTACACGGTTTAGTAAAGAGCTCCCTCCCACTGCCTTAGGGTCTGTGAAAGGTCTGTGACCTGTTTAGAACTGCCAAGTGAAATGTCATGTCGCCCCTCCCAAATGGGAGTATCTGCATTCATTTGATCAGTATAAAAAATGATTGGGGATGGTGAGATCAGTGCTTTTGAATTGCAATTTATAGCAGTTTACAAAAATGCACATTGTTGGAAAAGAAAACATGGAAGTGTTTCTTTCTAAATTGCATTACCTGTGAAATGTCATTAGTCTTTTAAGGATATTTACATCCTTTTTTTATAATTTGGGAGACTTACATCAACTAAAGAAAATCAGAATTATGTCACCTTATGGTTTTTTAACTTATATTTTGGGTTTTGTCATAAAACTTATGGAAAACAATGAGTCTGAGTTCTTAGGATGAGCATGATTTCTTATCAGGCCCATTGACTAATTCCCTAAGATTATCTTTGGTAATGAGTTGTATTGGTAGAAGATCCTCCATTTTATTTCCCAGAATATGGAGGAGACTCACTTGTTGGTGAGTGGCTTATCTTTTGATTTCTAATAGACACCGAAATCTCTAGCATACTTACTCCACCAGGTTTCCATTATTTCTTCAACATGCTAGTAACTCCTTGTGAGATGAATGCTTTGGAAACTCTGATGCCTGTAGACCATAGACATGTAGATGCATCATCTACATATATGTATAGTTTCACAAATTGTTTTCCTTTAAGTATGTAAAAGATACAGGAACAAAAAGTTTAGGCAGGCTGTTCAAGTTCACAGACACTTAATTCATCCACCTGGGTTCTATGGGATGCAGAATGCAAACCCCTTTATACTTTTTTCAGAAGTATTGAAAGCTCCTTCTCTTCATCTTTGGCATCAAGTGCAATTGGACATTACATTGAAGAAATCTTTGATTAAGAAAAGTTACCTTGGGAAAAGGCCCTCAGGGCTTCCCTGGTTGATAGTTGACTAAAAAAAAAAAAAGAAGAAGAAGAAGAAGAAGAAGAAGAAGAAGAAGAAGAAGAAGAAGAAGAAGAAGAAGAAGAAAGGCCCTTTTTCAGAAAAGACTTGACCCAGATAGACTCTCCAGCACTCCACTTTGAACCTCCCAACTATTGAAAGCCGAGGTTGTCACGTTTTTATCTTTGTTCATGTTAAGACTTGGAATGACAGCCTGGCTCTGTGTTCCCCTCTCCCACTGCCCCGGCTCCAAGTGTCCACATTGACACCTACCGGTGACCACAGGCTGCAATTCTTTGTTGCCTTCTCCACGCTCCTGGCTTTCACTGGGATTAGCTCAAAGCCTTTGTTCCCCTTCAAAGCTGGAACATCACATCCCATGTTGTGGCTTTCCTGTCCCAGACCCCCAACGCTTTCCTCACAATTTACACACCAGGTAAAAGTGCCTCCCTACAGGGGCAAAGAAACTAGCCTGGGACCAGCCAGCGCTTTCCTAGTCCCCAATTTCAGAGCCCCTGCCAGTTTGGTTTTCTTTCCTTCACGTTTCTAAATTCCTATTTCATAGGGAGGGACAATGGAAACAAATGGAAATTTAAATTTCAGAGTTAAAATCCCTGGATTTCTAAACACAAGACAACCTTTTTTTCAAAAAAAATTGTTTTACAGTGGGTCGTGTTTCTTCCCAGAGGGTCAGTGACTGGCCTTGGTCACAGGCAGGTAAGACCAGTTCTATACTCAACGAGGTCAATAGAAAAAGCACTCTTTGAGGAAAAAGGGGTGGGAGTCTATTTTGAAGACCCAGGAGAGTCTAACCACCTGATTTATCTACCCCTCCCTTTATCCCCAACCTCTCTTCCTGGTTACTAAAGAGATCCCCAGCTGGGCTAGATCTGGGAGGACCCCCTAAAAACATTCAAAAGTATTATCTGGGAAAGGAGAAAGGGTGGAGAGTGGATGAGGTCTAATAAGTGAAAGTTTATAGCTGTTCCTTGTTCTCATTTTTAGTGAATCGAGGATCCTCCAAAGAACCTTGGGAGAAGATATGGGTACACCATCCCACTCCCCCACCCCCAATGAATGATGTGGACCCAACTGGGCTTCTTAGAGAGACCACAGAATAGAGGACCCTCCTCATCCTGGATGGCATATAATGCCTGCCTCCTTAGCCAGAAATACTGTCTCCAAGGCGTTTCTGAACCATTGGATTTCTCCAGATTAGGAACACTAACTCAAGCACTGCAATTTAGAATTGGAACACGCCTTTTTCTCGAATCTTTTCTGAGCCCCAATGAAACCTCTCCTGCGCTCCTGCAGGGTGAGCTGGGCGCACAGACCCTGAGGGGTCACCACATCCATTCTAGTCGCCTGGGATCAGAGGTGTGCCCAGAGCCTAGGGGTGGGAAAGAGTGGACTTCAATTAAAATATTTGAGGCATTAAACTTGTTTGACATTCTCTAATTCTTCCAGTCTTTAACACAAAATGAGAACTACTTGCTGCCTTCTGACCAGTGAACTAAGTCCTTTGAGAGTGAAGCATACACATGGAGGGGAGTTTGTATTTCCTTTGGGAAAATCCCCTATACTCTTCATTGGCTACACATGGCTCCGTATCATAAAGACTCCTTAAACAAGTCTTTAATACGTGGGGAAACTTTTTGAAGTTTTGCTTCTCGGTAAGTATGAAGATCCAGTGCTAAGTTTAAGTGTTCAGTCTGGAATGTCAGGTGCCATTTACTGAAACACCTGGTTGCTTTTCTCTGTGCGTAATGTTCAGCTTGGTCTTTTCACTTCTCCTAAATACAAGTTCGGGCCTGTCATTCTGTCTCTAAATTGTAGGCTCCAGATTACAGATTTCTAAGGCTATTAAGTCTCAAGAAATGTATTTGTGGTAGTTGTCACATAAAGCTGACGTACTCTGGTCCAAAAGAAAGCCAGAGAGGCGATTTATTTGTGCGTAAAAGGAACAAGATTTAATTGGAGAGAGAAGTGTTATTTTGAACGCAAGTACATGGGGTGGCTTAGCGCTGTGGAGCATTATTCGAGCTTCATCTACTATGCACTATATGCCACCGTCTCCAAAGGAGTGTTGCCCTAGAAACTTGTTTTAAATCTGCTGCTATATATCAACACCTTGTTTTAGCAGTCCTTGGCTGAATTACAGTTACACAGTTTGGCGCTTCTTTCAAATTTCCTCCCATCAGTTTGGCTAAAGAAAGGAATTTTTCTCCTTTAGAAATGAATTGGCTTAATTAGTAAGTAGATTAATGGCAATTGCTGGTGAGTTGGTTTCCAGCAGAGTTTCACCAGAGAGGGTTAATCGGAGTCAGGTCTGGAATCTTTCCCAGAACTGGCTGCCAGCCATTTCCACCAATCAACCTTACAATTATCGAAGGAAATCAAATAAAATTTATATTCTCTGTGTCATTCTCCTGGACCAAAATTTTCTTGGAAGCAGCCTCCTGGTTGGGTGCARTAGAGACTTTTATTTCAGGATTTTAACAGAAATTTTAAGCTCCATGATTTATCTGAGTACCAACGTAGAATTTCCAGTGGCACAATAAGTGTCTCCACAGAACACTGGGCGCATTGGAAACATCTAAGGTTCTCAGTCAATTTCAGGTTTAGAGAACTTACAACCCCCCTCCCAAGTCCCGCCCTAAATCTGTTACACACCAGAAGTCTTTCAAAAGTTTTGCTGTATGATTTGCAGCCTTTTCACTTATTTTTTCCATAGTGATAAAAAAATGCATTCATAGTCTAACTTGCAGCTGCATTAGTCTTGCAAAAAAAAAAAAAATCCCTGCTGAGAAATGCATATAATAGGAAAAACAGATCGGCTGGACAGCAGTGTAATTAATGCCAGAAAGGGCTGAGGCCGGTTTCATAGTTTGTCTTTTGAGGATATCAAGACGAGACCTGGTGAAAAATGACGCATGCTTTAGCATTTCAGAAAGCTGGCAACTGGCAGCGCTTTTCCTTTTTTCTTTGACTTTCTGCCGCAGAACAAAGAGGTCGGCAGAACTAGCTAGGTTGTAATGAGTTCTATGTCCCTAGCACATTAAGTGCATCATGGAAACATATTGTATCGAAATAGTTTGGAGGAGAATACCGGGGATGAAAGAGAATGGGTGCTTTGATCAGCTCCCTGGGGTCCTGAGCGCGCACAGACTGACTTGCAAGGAGTTATTCAGCTCCAGCTAGACACACTTACAACACCATTCAAAGAAATTTGCATATCTGTAATTTATCACATTGGTCCAGAACGTTATTGCAAGGTAAATAAAAGTTAGTTGAATTAAAAAAATCAATCATCTCAGATATAGAGAAACTGTGAAACCAGTCTTGCCATTAAAACCAGAAATAAATATGTCCATAAAATATGACGATTTAGAAGCTGGCTTAATTTTTAAAGTGTCCTTAGAGCAACAGGTTATGCTCTTACAAAAGAAAGAGAGAGAGAGAGAGAGAGAGAGAGAGAGAGAGAGAGAGAGAGAAGATAGAAGAAGAGGAAAAGAAGAGTGGCCACAATTTCTTTGCCTTAGGAAGTGTATTTGCAGCTTCCCACTGGAATAAAGTCACAAGGTTGAATGAGATGCATGTCACTATAATCAGCCTGTGACTAGCAGAGAAAATTAGAACATACTTTGAAGAGATATGAACGATGGCTTAATCTCCTTGGAATCTGCAAATGGTAAGGCTAAATCTCATTTCTGCTCCTGTTGATTTCATTGCCAAGCCCTATTTGCTGAATTTAGCTCCAAAGGATGAAATGTCCAGAGACCCGGTCAATAGGAAAACTTGCTTTCAAGAGCCCCATGAGAACAAGTGAAAATTTAACAGGCAGGCATTGTTCCGGTTTTTAAACAACTCAGTTAAACAGCAAACAAGAATCTTCAACTTGACCTTGGAAAAGGCTGTGTGCCTGCAGATAATCTATCAAACAACTCTGGATGACAATGATATATTTCAAAGTATTGTCAGATGAAAAGATTGATAAATTTGCTGCTGCAAAGAGAGAACTTTGGAAACAGGCAACAGGCAATTTAGCTCACCAACTCCGCCTCCTCCTTCTCTGTCCTCACTGCCCCATCCCCACCCCTCCACCCCCAGCCAGCCTTGGGGCCAACTCTATAGAAGAAGGCCAGTAAATCAGCACTGTAATATTTCTTAAGGGGCACGGAAAAGCTGTGAACAGTACTTCTCATATTAAACGCAATATTTCTTTGCTTTCGTGGGGAACAAAAGTCATAGCAAGACGTCTTTATGGCTAATTCAGTCAAAGGCACATCTCTGGTTCCCCCCGCAGAAAGGTCAGTGTCGTTGTGTTTGGTCCACCGAGGGGGTGTTTTCACAGTGAAAACTGAGCCAGCTGTCCCTGTCATACCCTCACCATTGGGGAGCGCGCACTAGCCATGGTTATTAGGCACATTCTACACCTGCAAAATATACCGATTTCCAAGACTTTTCAAAACACCCTCCCGTTCTCATGCCCCCTCCTCTTTCTTCTACTAAACTTTGACAACACAATTCAAGTCCTGGATGAAAGCACTGCACGCAAGAGGAACGCTGGGGAAGGGGCACTCTCAGCTACTGTCTCATGGTGTCTATTGAGCAGCCATCAAAGAAATGAGGCGTCAAGTATGTTTTCAAAAAGTATGGAAAAACTTCCACACATTTGCTATTGCCACAAATGCAAATTGTTGAGCCCTAACATGTAAATTATATGCACCGGTGTTAGTTGTGGGGCTGCAGCCTAGCCTCCTTCATTAAAATGTAGATCATTTAAAAAATTCTATTCGTATTTGGAATGACACTGATCAGCGCCAGAATTTCTTGAATTCTCCCATGCCAGTGCACGTCTATTTTTAAAAATCCGAATGCCAATTCTTGCCCCACTGGGTTGACTAATAAAACTCCTAGAAACATCCCCTGGCTAGACTTATCACCAGGATCCAATTCCAAAGGTTTGCACTTCAGAGGTAGGTGGTTAACTAGCTATTTAGGAGAGGATCAGTGACCCAAACAAGGAAGGAGACAAAAGAGAGCCTGTGCTATCGCTGAAGAGAAATTGTAAAATTGTAAGCAATTCAGAAAAATTCTCTTGAGAATGAGAATGCCCCAAGTGCCAGTTCCTCTGGAAAGCGCGAACATAACTAGCTTTCTCAGAGTGGGGTGGGGGTGGGGAACCAAAGATTCCTATCTGGCTGCGGGGGGCGGAGAGGGGGGTGGGAGGTAGCGAGCTGTAGAATTGAGAGGGTTTAATTAGTCTGGTGTGGCTCTAATCCGGATCTTCCTCTAATCCTGCCACCCAAACTGCAAAGAGCTACATGAGAAGTTYTTAGCTTGGGCGAGTTACAGGGGTGGTCCGGGACGCCTTGGGTTCCCGGGACACAGGCAGGGTTGAAACACATTGCTTGTCATAGGAGGCAAGAAGGGGGTGCCTCTCACTAACAGGGAACCCTAAACTCTTTCCTGGAAGCTGGGGGCCTCCACACAGCCCGCTTCCATCAGGCAACGCGCGGCATCTCTCCAAAGCAATGTCAGCGCAACAGGTTGTTTGGAACAGGTGCGTACCCTCCATGGAAGGGGCTAGCATTATGCTGCGGCGATCCACCAAGGGCTAAGAGTCCCCGAGAAGCAATGGTACATCCTCAGGAGCCCGAAAGTGGGACCGGCTGGAACCCTGCGCCCCGGCCACTGTAGCTGATAATGCCGGCGCCTCGGCCGGGAGGCAAAACGAGTTCGCCACAACCTGCGCCCCAGGGCAAGGGGCCCTCTGCAGGCGGCCTCCCGAGGGCTTCCCTGCTGGCCAAGGGGTGTAGTTGCCCTGGGCACTCTTAGAGGAAGCCTGGGGTCCCAACTCCTGACTTCATTCGGGCCATTCACCCCGCTTCCTGCTCGCCGCTTCCTGSAGCCCCTCTTGGAGACTTTCATGCGCAAAGATAGCAGAACTACGGAGAGCGGGACACCGGGGCAGCTACTTTCAGCCTCGAGAAAAACRGACAGCGCCCGAACCCCGAATGCCCGGGAAGCAGGGGCCAGGCGGGCCTCGGGGGATACTCATCTGACTCCACCCCGGCTCTCCGGAACCCTGGGAACATCGAGCAGTAGGCGGGGCGCA